TAATTAACAGTGTTCTGACTACTCAAAATGAAAGAACGACAATGATAAAGGCTAGATTCATACATGTTCAGTTTGTGTTACATTTTTTCTTGTGTTCAGTTAGTTACATCATATGATTCAAGAGACTATTCTGCTAATAATACTTGGTCTTTCTATTGTGTTCTTAATATACAAAAAGCATCGAATTTTATAAATTTGTTACATTTAAATTTGCTCTCATTTTTTTATGTCAATAATAAAATGTAATATTTAATTCTAATTTGTGTTGACATAACGTTTATGTGTATAGATCAATAATTATTACAATTTTTCAACTTACAATGAATATCGTTATCTAAATTAAAATTATTTTTTTAGTGAGATGAAATCAATTAAGAGTAAATCTTTCAATTTTGTATTGTTTAGGTACATATTGATTACAAATGAATAACAACTGAAAATTGATAACTATTGTGAAATGTTCTAGAACATCTTGAATTAAAACTATAGCAAAGAAAATGAAACGCAACGAACATGTCTTATGTATTAATTTTGTCTTAGATGTAGATGATCTTGATTAATCTTACTGTCTGTATTATTGCTTTTAAAACCTTTGTTTACGTTTTCGAAATCATATAACTGCCATTCCCAAACAGAAAAAAATCAATAATAAACTGTTTTCAAACGCATAAAAAGTCGAACATGTGCCGAAATGTAAACGCATCCTATTCTCTTGTCGTTTAGCCAACAATTGAGATTTTTTAATTGTTAAAAATTTTAACTTTTTATAGTAACTACTAAAGGCAGGCAACTTTATGGTGTTATTTTCGCTAGATATTTTTATTCATAGCATCCTAACATGTTTAAACACGTTAAATAACTCGTAAAAAAGTTCTTTTTTTTTTACGGAAGTTTATTGTTAAAACACCGTTGTAATGAAAACTTAACGTATTCAAACGTTTTTTTCAAGAGCTTGTCTATCTGGAAAAAGGTTTTCATATAATTTAGTGGACGCTCAACAGTTAAATAAACACCATCTCTCATAACAACAAATTATTGCAGAGCCAAAGCAGTACATGTTATCATTTGAGTACCTTGTTAACATAGATTGAAATAATAACGTTAGTCAGATAGTTGCGTATGTATCACATCATTCCGGCTATTATTATTGATTAATGTTCAGATCCCATTTAACATATATGTACGAAAACGGGTTTGACATGTAAATCGGTTTCTATCAGTTAACTTGTCAATTTTTAAAATAAAATGAAAAATTTTATAAAAATGAATAAACATGATAAGAATATCTAATGATATATATGCAGAGCAGTCATATTTTCTAGATGTACGTGACAATCATTATCACAACATACACCTGTACCAGATTGTCATTCTGTATGTTCAACATTACATTTGATTATTATCCTTTATTAAAAATTTATTAGATATGACAAAGCTTCAAGTTTTACTTGTTTTGTCCGAATGTAGGAGCATGATGTATTAAGTAACTTAGACAATATTTAATTAGTATATACGACATGTTGTGACTGAATCTGATAGATCCTTCAAATATTCAAAACTAGTAAAGACTAAGAAATAATGACATTCTTCTGCGAAATAAATCCGATGCCAGATGTAACAGTGATCCCAGCAGAACAACTGTTCACAGGCTTGGATTGCCTACATATCGTCGCTACGAACTGTTTGACTTCTCTGTCGTCATCTGTGTATTTATTTTTATATACTAATCTTACAGTGACACTTGAATGAGAGCAAAATATTGTCTATATAATAAAATAAAGCAGTCATGTATACAGAAACGACATGACAATACGAAACATTTATTGACTGAATACAGAGTATATTCGTCGTGAATATAAAAAAAAGACAACATGTATCATTGAGCAAAAAGGTTTTGAATGAAAAATTTTGAATGAATTTAATCAACTAATCAGAAGAAATCTGCAGTACTCTTCAGAAGTCTCGGGACATGTTAAAATCAAGGTTAAGTTGAACTATTATTCCCCGAATTTCTATCAGACATAGAGTCCAAACAATTGTAATCGCAAGCACCAATCTGAGCTCGATCGACGAAAATAGAAATTGAGTTATAAGTCAAACCTACTCACAACTTGGTGGGGTTCACTCTTAACTCTCACAAGCTTTCTTGGCCTAATTTATTTATCATTTTCAATTTCATTGCTGCCTACGTCGTCGGCATAGATTGTATGGAAAAATCTGAAAGATTTTATGGGGCCTCTTTTTCATCTCTGAACCTATGCTGATAACATAGTTAGCAATGATATTGAAAATGATGAATGAATTAGGTCAAGAAATCTTGTGAGAGTTAAGCCTAAACCCCACCAAGTTGTGAGTATGTTTGACTTATAACTCAATTTCTATTTTCGTCGATCGAACTCAGATTGGTGCTTGAGATCGCAATTGTTTGAGCTCTATTTCTGGTAGAAGCTTGGGAGACAGTAGTTCAATTTTACCTAGATTTTAACATGTCCCGCGACTTCTGACGAGTATTGTATTAAGTTCTAGTACATTATGAAAATATAAAAATGCATCAAGGAACAATGAGAATCCGTTAACGATTAGAAAAAATGAACAACAACTTAGCGAAAGAGAAAAGTACGCTAAATAAATAAACGGACAAAGAACAATGTATTCACCATCTAGTATTAGCCATGACTGTGCTCAGTCAAAGTGATTATAAAATCATTTCTCATCTTTCAAAACTAAATATACACTATTACATATTTTGATGCATACATTTTCTACCGAGAAAAAAAGTTAGCATTTCTATTGAAAATACAAATATAGCATAACACGCTACTGATCACTCTGGTCTAAGTGACGTGTCTGAAGCATCATTTTCTTTAATGACACCGAGTGAAAGAAGATTCCAAAAACCAATAGAAAGCTTGTTTCCTCATTTCAAGCCAAACTCACTCAAAAGATGCTTGCTTGGCTTATTGCTTATTGTGCATCTTCTTTACGCTACATTGATTGACAATGCAAATCAAACAAAGCATTTTTCTTTCAAATGAGAATTCACAACAAAACAGACAAAGACAACGTAGTTGAGCAAATAGAACAATTGAAATTCTTGAATCATATGGCTTGGAAAGTGGGTGAACGTGAGTAAAGAAAAGTCATAAACATTCACGAATATTCTCAGTTACACCTACATACTAATGTCCAGTATCAAAAAAGTCAGTTTCAAAGCAATTCATGCTATCACAAGGCATGCAAATTGTATTTAGTTTTGTTACGGAACATGATCACGAAATTGTGCTCCTTGAACCTTGATATCATTGTCAACGAGGTTCAGTGTGGTTAATGTCTGTTTTGAAAAAAGGTACTCAATCCTAGATACAGAAACTGGGTATATTACTTTGTTTAATTCACAAGCTTCTCTAAGAGGCTGTGCTCCTTCATCACTAATTTGATTATAACTCAGATTCAGTACGGTTAGTGTCTGTTTTGAACAGGCAATAAAAGGTAGATAGAGAAGTCCAAGATACTACTTTGTTTACTAGAAGAGCTTTGCCAAGATGTTGTGCACCTTGATCACCGATTTCATTCCCAGAAGAGTTCAGAGTGATTAATGTCTATTTTTAAGGGGCAGAGAATGATAGATAAAGAAGTCGAAGATATTACTTTGTTTAGTTGGAGAGCTTTGCCGAGATGTTTTGCTCCCTCGTCACAGATTAGATTGTAACTAAGGTCCAGAGTGATTAGTGTCTACTTTTAAAAGGCAGTGAATGATAGATAGATAAGGAGAATATACTACTGTGTTTAGTTCAAGAGCTTTACCAAGATACTGTACTTCTTCAGCAGCGATATAGTTTTCAGCGATGTTCAGAGTCATTAATGTCTATTTTTAAGTGGCATTGAATGGCAAATAGATAGAGTAAGGATTTCACTTTGTTTAGTTGAGAGCTTTGCCAAGATGCTGTGCTCCTTCATCATCGATATGTTTCCGATAGCGAGTCAGAGCGGTTAGTGTCTATTAGTGGGGAAAATAATGTTGAGATAATAGAAGGATTCGCAAATAAATATGGGAATGGAATCTATAAATGGTGTTTGTTGCTTCGATTGGCAAGTCTTCGATTGAATACATCGACAATGGAATGTTTTTTTGGGACAGAAAATGTTGGAAAATGTGAGAAAGTATATAAATTATTTTAGCGCGTGTAAATTGTATTAAAATTGTTATGGAATATATGGTGCAGACTCCAGATTTATTAAAAAATGATGAATCCCTGTATCCATTAAAACTCTCCGGAATAATAAGTCCTAATGCTCGCTAATGTTTGATGTAGAATACAGAAAGGTTCTGGTCAGTTGAAACAATTGTTCAGTTTTCTCGATTAGTAGATTGTCTGGCTGCTTTATTTGTCTATCCAACGTGGTCATAGTTGGATGTGTTGTTTTTAGCTGATATACAATCGAAAGAAAGTACTCAAGTATCGTGCTTCGTCAGTAATGTAATAGCAATATAGAGGCATTGTTCCAGAAAAGAATCAATTTTAGCGATGGCATCTTTAAGGCAGTTTTAATAATGGTCTTCGAAATATAGTTTGTAAGTATGATTCGCTTAGTTTTGTAAAAGTAACTGTCATTTTAATAAATGACATTGTTGTTCATGATTCCTATAGTACTTTGGACCGTAATTCAGGGTGCAAACTTGCTTTTTTTCAATTTTGACACTTTTTTCTCCTTCTCATTTTTTCTAAGCAGTAAAAGATATTGATTGTACAATATGTATATGGTCATATATAGGGAATCACCAGCTACGATTACCCCTAGTTCCAAACCCCGTCACTGCCCTTACATATAAATAATTATTTATTTTATGTATAACTGTCTATTTTCTTATCGTGATTTTTAGCCATCACTGCTAGGGATTTTTTGCAATTTCACCTGTCTGTCATACGCTTCCACACACCAGCTATCATTGACCAATAGCGTTTCATCCAATCACTCTTATTTACTTATTTATAAAAAAAATGGATAATGATCCTGATACTACTAGCGATGATCGTGATGATCGTGGTCATGGTGGTTTTCGACCAGGTGCTGGTAGAAAACGAAAACAATCAGCAGCATCTATTCAAATTATGTCAAAGAAAAGACGTGAACGAGCTGCACATAGACAAACCATGTCTAGATATAGGGCTAAATTAACACAATGGATAGATGAATTAAAATGGTCACATGAAGGTATTCAATCATCTTATCGTGATAATGCAACTGCTCTGTTGGTTATATTTAATATCATGTTAGAAAATGTTAATCTAACACAAACAGAAGCAATTGTCAAGGCCGGTTTGTATTTAGGTCGTGCACATTCCACATTAGATACACTTGTATCGCACTGGAATAAATACAAAGAGGTATATGTTGAATCAGGTTTTAGCGGTGAATCAGTAGATCAACGATCAGCAGATTTATTTACAACATTACCTTACTTTATTATAACCACTATTATTAACCGTCATGCTGCAGGTGTAACTACAACTGTTAAAGATATTCAACAAGCAATTACTGATACACATGGTACACATATTGGTTATTGGTCAATATATTATCTGATGCATGATAAAATGAAGCTGTCATATGGTTTATTGGAAGATGCAACAAATTTAATACAAGATCCTAATCGTCTCAAGCGTATTGGCCAATTTCTTATTAAATATGCTTCTGCTTTAAAACTGGAAAAGAAGAAAGAAGCAGTTATATGTTACATGGACGAGTCGTATGTTACTACTGGTCATCATAGTCATTATGGTTGGTATTCAGATAATGAAGATAAAGATATTCGTACTGGTGCTGGAGTTGGGAAAAGACTTATATTGGTTCATGCCATTACTAATGATGGTCTTCTTCACAAAACTGGAAATTCAAATAATAAAACTATCTCTGCTGAATTAATATATGAAGCAAAGCACCCATTAGGTGATTATCATTCGAATATGAATGGTTATAATTTTCGTCTATGGATTAATCAACATTTATTTCCTGCATTCCAAGCAAAATATGGACGTAAAAAGAGAATGATACTTGTGCTTGATAACGCTCCTTATCACAAAGAACGAGGTGATGATTATGTGAATATAAAATTAATGTCAAAAATTGATATGATTGATCTTCTTGTATCAAAAGGAGTACAAAATATAACAATTATCCCAAATGGTTATCCAAAAGAATTTCAAGCTAATGAATGGAAATTCAATGGTCCTTTAGGTCCTTATAAAAAAGAATTGCAGTTGTACATGGAAAGTTGGATCAAACAATATCCTGAACTTCAAAAGACATTGTTGGAAAACTTATTTGTAGAAAAATCTTTACATGTGAAAGCCAACATGCCTGATTTTCATTATCTTATATATATTCCACCATATTGTCCTCAAGTTCAACCTATTGAATTGGTCTGGGCATATGTTAAAGCTTATGTAGCTAAACAGTTCACAACTTCCAGAACTCTTCAGCAATTAATTGAACATACTAAAGAAGGATTCAACGGCAATGGAGCTGAACATGAGGGAGTATCTTCTGAAATGGTCAGGAAAATGATTTTACATACTCATAAATACTGTAATATGCTCATTGATGATGATTGTTGGTTGGAAGGATCGATAGATAATTTAAAGAATGTCGATCAATATGAAGAAGCAGATGAAGATGCAGAAGATGAAGATGAAGACAATGATATTAATATGGATACGTTAGCTATTATTGAATAAATTTTATTACATAAATATATTTCGAGCATCATTTGTAGACTTAGTGAGTAGAAGTGTTAATACTCATTGTAGATATCATTTTCTATTGTAAATTAGTTGTTACTTACATCAAATAAATAAGTTTCGAAACTGAATAAAATTCCTGTCAAACTTGATTTTTTCGTATTTCTTTTTTTATTTTTTCCATAAAGTCAGCATGATGATATCTCAATATTATTATGCCCTTACATAGCCTATATCTCCCCCTAGCAAACCCCTAAGTATGATCAAAAAATAAGGAAAAACCTATTCAAGGAGAATAATTAAAAAAAATATCCCCCACCCTGAATTACGGTCCAAAGTACTACAGGTTATCAGCAGTAAGTCTTGGTTAGCTTCAATAATTATCAGTGGTCAATTCTGCTTTTCGACTAGAAATTAAAGCATACGTAGTTTTTAAGAAACCATCAAAAAAAGGGGGCGGGTTTGCACGTAAAACGGCCCTAAATAAAAATCATCTCGGAACACCTTATAAAATTGACTTTCATCTTCCTCTAAGTAAGAATAAAGCATCTGGGCCTCTCTCAGGTCATGTTTCGAGACCTCTTCTCGACATTTCTACGTAGGACAGAAGCATTATTAATATCGGAATCCCCATCATAGGTTAACCGCGTTAGTTTACCAAATCAGTCTCATATTTTAGGAAAGATAGAGCTTTTCAAGATCTGCAAAATGATCACAAATTGTGAAGTAAAATATGCTGCGCTCGAAAATTTCCAAGAATCACACTGTTCAGGTTCTACAGAAAAACTCATTGTTGGGATAGTATGGTCCGTGAGATCTTAAGTATCGCTCCTAATACCATCGTCATTTTTTCTGTGCAGATAGAACTTTTGAAAAGCTACAAAATGATTACAAAATGTTAAGGAAAATATGCTGCGCTCAAAAATTTCCAAGGACCACACTGTCCAGGTTCTACAGGAAAACTCATTGTTGGGATAGTATGGTCCGTACGATCCTATGTATCGTTCCTGATACCATCGTCATTTTTTCAGTACAGATAGAACTTTTCAAGAGCTACAAAATGATCACAAATTATGAAGTAAAATATGGTGCGCTCGAGAATTTCCGTGAATCACACTGTCCAGATTCTACAGGAAAACTCCTTCTTGGGATAGTATGGTCCGTAAGATCTTGAGTATCGCTTCTGATATCATCGTCATTTTTTTCTGTGCAGATAGAACTTTTGAAAAGCTACAAAATGATTACAAAATGTAAAATAAAAATATGCTACGCTTGAAAATTTCCAAGGACCACACTGTTCAAGTTCTACAGGAAAACTCATGGTTGGGACAGTATGGTCCGTACGATCCTAAGTATCGCTCCTGATACCGTCGTCATTTTTTGTATTCAGATAGAGCTTTACAAGACCTACAAGATGAACATAAAATGTAAAGAAAAATATGCTGCGCTCGAGAATTTCCAAGGACCACACTATCCGGATTCTAAAGAAAGACCATTGTTAGGATAGTACGGTCCATACGATCTTGAGTATCAGTCCTGACACCGTCGCCATTTTTTCGGCGTGGATAGAGATTTTCAAGACGTACACAGTGATCATAAATGTAAAGGGAAATTTACCGTCCTCGAAAAAAATCAGGGCGACACTATCGAATCGTTGTAAGAAAACGAATTGTCGAAAGAATATGACGAACGGGTTTTGAAACTCCGATCATAGAATGGTTGTGTATATTGGAGTAAGTGATAAAACGTGTTATAGGTAAGAAGCCGTTATGCATGTGGGACGAAGCAAGGCTTAAGCAATGTATGGAGGATGATTGGTATGCAGTA